TATTATAAATATATATTTTGAAAGCTTATATATTGTTGATCATGTAAGTTTTAAAAATATGCTTTTGTATAGTAAATTCTAATATTCGTCAAATACAATGTATGTAATTAGAAGATAAAGTAAGCACATCAGTAATTCTTATAAGTAGATATAAACTTGCTTTGCTCTGGTAGGAATATGTGAAACAAACTATTATGCAAGTTTTTAGATACTTGAACGCTAATGAGTAAAGTAAATAATAATTATATGGTGAAGATTAGTTAATAAATAATTTAATGAGCAGGTTACACTCTAAAGTGTTTAACTGTTTAATTGAATTAGTAGTTATTAATGAATAAATATTATGTCTCTATCTAAAAGTTAGAAGTTTCTAATGTCCGCTAATATTATGGATAAATTGATATTGGTAAACACCTCGATATTTTTAGTTTACATTCTGCTTATATTTTATGAAATAATATCATTTATTAAGTAACCGAAAAACATTGGCCATTTATTGTTAAATGGAAATCGTGTCTCGGTAGACGGAAATTCTAAAATCCTTGGATACTCTAAAATAATTAAAATGATATATTTTAATAATTAACCCGTCTTTGCTATTTCGCTTAAATAGTCTAGGAATTTAGATTTCTATATAAGAAAACGGTGATACTTGAAAATTTGAAATAAATGTAATTATTAAAGTAAGCTACATCAAACACGTATCAACTTGAACAAGCAAACAATTTTTTCATTATATATTTTTAACAGCAATCACAACTTTCTGTTTTCAGTTATATAAGCTGTTATGCTTGACCTTTTTAAATGGCAACCCAAACGGTTACTATCTCTATATGATAAATTTTATTATTACGATTTCTGTAATACATTTTTTATCGATAGATCAATGCCAGTAAGGACTATTTCACGTGAATACATGTTGCTTTCTAAATATCCAAGTGAAAACTGATGTCATTACTGCATGATATCAGGATGTCTGAGGCAGGTATCAAACCTGAAACTTCTGATTCGAAATAATATAACATAACTAAACAAATGTTATTTAATACTAAGTTTAAGATATTAGATTTTTACTATTTATTTTTACGTTTATTTTAATGTCACGAATCGTGGAATTAATACAAAAAATACAGAATTAGTTCAAATAAATTTATAATATTTTATATGAATATAAAATATACCAGAATATTATTATATCATCGTAAACTAGGCTCGTTAGTATTTGACATTTTGAAATTCCTAATGATGTTGTATCTAAATGACGCACGTACAAACTTTTCTGAAGTCATATTTCTACAGAAAATATGTTTTGAAAAAGTATTCGACGAAGTTATGAGGTATTACTTTTCGCGTAATGCTTTTACGGCCTTGTGATTTATATACAGCATCGTATGTGACGAACCCTCGAATAACTAACTTTTTTTACAACCCCGAGCGTTTCCTTTCAGAGACGCGCATATACACATCCGGCGGTCGGGCAGGAAACTTGATTATTTCTGCACATTTCCATGTATGTTTTATTATGAGAGTACATATTTTAAAATGTACAAAATTATTTCTTTTATTTTCCAAAACACAATGATAATATTTTACTCATTTAAAAAGTATTCTCTTTATACTTCTAAATTGTTTTCTTTATTCTATATTATACTAATGTAAGAATTAAAAAATAGAAGATATGAAGAAATGGGCGTGTAAGGGATATAGTAGTAGAAGAAACAATTTTATATTTCAACTGATCCTTTGCTATATAATAAATATATTATATTTTTTTAACTATGAAATATAATTGTTTATTCAGATTCAGTATCACCATAATGTTTCGAATTTCGAGCTATCTGTATCGAATACTGTAAGGTATCAGTGTTACACAAACTTAAAATCACTCACAACCAATATTATAATTCAGTTATAATAATACAGTTCATTTTCAGATAAATTTAGAAAATTATAGAGCCATTTATATATTCTTCATCATAAATAATCTTTTGTTTGTCTATCAAATCCCGTCAGGGTAGACTCCGGTTGTGCCACTTTTTTTTCATCAGCAAGAATATCTGTTTAATCTAAACCCGAAAAGGACAAGAAATACATGTCACAACCGTACCCACAAAGTTTGTCACAACCGGATCCAACGCATACTTTGGCAGACAAATCGTCGTTATGATCGAGCTCAATTATCTGCACAAAAAGTAATTGCTAGTAAATAATTACTATTGTTCAACTTATAGCAAAATAACAAACTAAGTAATCTGTCTGTATATAAGAATCAGTTATTATTAAAAAAAATCGAACGGAATTCCGTTCGAAGCTTTTAAAAGCTTAGTTTTGACTCGTTAAAAGCAATGCGGTCTACAGATCCTGTTATTGCAGGGCGCCGACTGAAAGCAATAATGAAAACTTGTTCAAACAAACATACTACATCTTTCTCCTCCCCTTTGACCATTTCTCAAAATCAGCATAGTTTAGCTGTTATGACGACTTTCAGTACCGTAGCCTGACACAACCGTACCCAGTCTCCCCTACAATTTGAATTTGCTTCAATTTGACTCATGGACTAACCAAATGCTTATACGTTAAATTTTAAAACTATAAAAAATATTTGTATTTAGGCTATGATAGTCAAGTTACAATTTTATTATTGCATAATGAATATTTTAAATATGCATTATTAAACTATTCCTTCTTAATTTATTTTTGCATTGAATGATTTAGACTCTATGTAACGCCAATGATGTTCAAAGTAAATGTACCCCTCTAACATATATTTATTGCTCCCTTATCAATCCTGCAGATAGGTACATAAACCCACGGTCATCAGTGCCGCATTACTTTGCGTCCAAAAAAATGGTATAACACAGTAATTAAAGGGAAACTAGAGGTGTATAGGCATCGAGCTTTAAGGCAAATTGACATAACTACACGTGTCAAAAATAAACTTTAAACGAACAAAATAATTAAAGAAATTAAAATTTGATTTCAGCAAAAAAAATATTAAAAATTAAACAAAAAAATATTTTTTTTAAATTGTGAAAAAATGAATAAAATTCAAACACAAGTTGGCCATAAACTCTTTGTAGTAGAAAAATAAGATACGTGTAATAACATTTTCGAATTTGTAAAACGATCAGAGATTTTATGGTTTCATACTTTTCTAATAAGTTACTTTTCAACATTGGGGATCTCGGACAAAGTAACACAAATTGCAGTAAGTGGCACCAATAATCACAATATATAAACACTGGTGCAACGGTTTGTATTCAAAAATTTGTATATTTTATATTTGTATATTTTATATACAATTACAGCAAAAATTGTAACATGTCCGTTTTTTTTGAAAATACTAGAAAAGTAAAATCGAAGCATAAACTGAGAATGAAGGTAGATGAATACTGAAAATGAAGATGGTAGTTTTATAACGTCATTATGAAAATTAATATATAACATCTTATAAAATATTCATATAACATGTAGGAGGTTCTAAACTAATGTTTCTTATCACGTTATAAAAATATCTGCTACTATAAATAACTCACTATTATTTTAATTTTTGGTATTCTTTTAATAATCAAAATATTTAGCTTAAGCTGTTCATTATCGTGAGATATACTATATTTTTTGTAAATGTGGCCAAGATTACCAATTTATAATTTATAATTGTGGCCAATTTATATGGTCAATCTTCTTTATCTTGGCCATCGTCTTCAAGACTATTTTGAAGTTCGAAATGCCGCCCTGTTGGCCACCCTTCAATGTCACTTGTAGGCACGTAACACGTGTCACGCGCCAGATAACATAATCCATGGGTCTGGCACTGAACTCCCTCGAAAGGAAACATTTTTAGCTAGGGTTGCCGAAATAAACTTCACATCACTGACAGAAAAATATTTCATGTTATCACATAGTAAATAAACAAAATGGCAATACAAATAAAATGAAAATTATGATTCGTTTTCACAACGAATAACTTCGTCAGATTGAAAGCATGAGCAACGAGATTGTCTTCGGAAACAAATATGTAAAGCAATTAATAATGTAAAGTTAAAATCTTTGGTTTGTAGAAATTTCAGATATTTTGATAAATATCTGGATTTTAAATAAAATGTTTTTGAGGAAGTCAGTGGTACAAAAATGTAAATATTACGACAGAGCCCGTGTAAAAACCTTTTAAGGTTTTGCAGCGACCCTGATTATGCACCTATTCACTCTAAAAAAAATATTTCAAGTATACTGTACTTAAAAACCACCCGGACAGAAACATAATATAATATAAATTTAGAGTTCGCAGACAATGTGATTTTGTATTTGTCTTGGCCAGAGTTGTGCAAATTCAATCTTCAGAATTACTTAGGCATCTCAAAATACTCCGATCTTTGATTGAATCCCTTTTGGTTCATTAATGTAATTAATGAGTATACATTTAAAATATCATTCCTTTCGATTCAGTTTTTATTGCGACGGAAGGTATAATTGAAAATGCTAACCCCATGACCTAACACTATTATTCAATTAGTTGACTTGCAATGTACAGGCGGAAACACTATCGTAAATTAGTTCATTTATATGATGAATTGCTCGAGTATTGCTGTATATTTTTAATTGTCCTATAATTTTATTAAAATTTTCTAGAATTCAGAATAGTTTCATTCTGCGACGATTTCTGTAATTCTCATAACAGTCACAATCTTATATTATTCTTATTTGTAATTTATTCTTCAATTTCTACGAAATTTTATTTTAACACCAAGGACTTTTACTACGTTTTCTTAGATTTTAAAAGATTTCTGATCTATTAAACCCTCAGAAAGTGTAGTTTATACATAAACATTTACAGTTGAGGGTACATATATATCTATGAATATACATGTAGAATTTTGTATGAACACTACTTATATCTCATCAGTGTAGTGTGTTCATATTCACATTTTTATAATATATATATATATATATATATAATTATTGCATTATCAGAATATTAATGTATTTATTTAATTATTTAGGCTGTGGTGCTGACTCTCAATGTCTAAGATGTGGTCCTACAGGATGCATCAAATGTCCAGTATTGATAGTGGAAGGAAGTCGGGCCTGCGTCGATGATTGTCCTTCTGGCAGATCAGCTTCCTGGTCTGCTCTTCCAGACTATATGGGCAAAGTGTGTCTGAAAACAGGACCAGGTGGATTATCTGGTGCGGGTTTAGCTGTAGTAATAGGCGCTTGTGCAGGAGGAGTTGTCTGCATCATTATTATAACTGCAGGTATACTTATTGCAAAATACCGTAAACGTCCTCAGAAGAAAATTAACTCCCAAAGAGCGGAATTTTTAAAAGAGTTAGATCGACTACGACCACAAAGTTATTGCTTGCTGGCAATTTTGAACGATATCCGACGGCAAATACGAGAAGTACATGCTAATGGTGATACTACTGCGGCTTTAACATACTGGCCAGTGGTGAGAGATTTGGCTAAATTATTATATTTATTGAATAGGCCTGTGGAAACAATTGTTAATGTTCCCAATGATTGGAAGAAGTTGAATCAGTGGGCCGAAAAGTTAATAACGCGTTATAAACATATAAGTAATGAAAGTCAACCGCAGGTAGCACAATTAATAAACTTTTTACAATCGCCTTCTTACGACGATAAAGCTATTCAAACGTCTGTGACAACTTTCAAGCCGTCGAATGGGTTTGGTTCCGCGCTTAGTTTGCAAGACTTTGTCGAGCCGTTCTCAGATGGAAATACTATTACTGCTGAGCAATGGCAATTACGAACGAATGCTGAAGGAGCAGACACCAGCTTATGGTTGGAAGATGAGTGTTTTCAACTTGGCTTAAGACCACAAGATGAAATCACCACTGAACTATGATAACTATTCGCAAGAATAAAAAATTTCTCATTGCTAGTTCGAAAGACAAATACCTTTAAAAAATTATCCTAAGTTTGTATATATTATTATTAGATGTTGTAAATACCAATTTATAGAATATGTTACATATTATATCAGAAACTTTGTAGTTAATTTATTATATCTTGTTATTAATTTTATGGCTAGATTTAGTTTGGCACAGTATTTTATTAAGTTTATCGTAATGTGTAATGACAGTAGAATAAGTTTATGGCTATGAGTTGTTTTACCAAACCTAACTAGTCAAATTGAAAGAAATGTTGTAACATTTTGTATATGCAGTTAAATTAATTATAAAAATATATCTACAATAATTGTTTGTTTTATTTGCTCCTGATGACAGGTTGACCCTTACAGGCGCAGAAAATTTGGGGTTCTTTTTAACCCAAGCTGCACGTGCAATAAAAGTATTAACTGAATATTTCATTATTGATTTCAAGAATATGTATTGTAAAAGTACAAAAATACACAGGGCATGTACCATCTTCAACATGGTCTAGAATGTACTAAGGACAATGGTACATTATTCAGCACGAGTGCATAAGAAACTTATTTATTTTATGGAACGCTATATGTATCATTGTGGCATATCGTGGATTAAAAGTGTGGTACATGGCCTGTACCATTACATAACAATTACACAAATGCATTGGTGAACTTATCGAGTTCTGATTAGAATTATATTTAGCAGTCACTGCCTAATTTGTGAAAAATAGGTACTTTTGTAAATTTCGGTTGTTATTTTCTGAATAACCTTAAATGTCTGTAGTTGAAAAACATAGTTTATACATTTATTTACTCATTTTTACATCATTCTGAATTACAGATCCTGTTGCACAGAAATATTTGCAAATAAATTCATCCTGACGTTTAATTTTCTTTAGAATCTGAAATGAGCATAATTTAGGAAATTTTAATAATCATCATTAATATAATGAAAATAAAATATTTTAAAATAGCAGTTGAAAAGGTAGTAAGGATCTAATGATTCATAAAAGTAAAAAAAAATATTTTTTTTAGGTACATTCATAATTTATACCATATTATTAATTATTGGTATTAAAGAAGGAAACATATTGATTTTAATCAATAATAAAAATTATTGTTTTTAATTAATATACAAATATAAATTAGAAAATGTATGAAAATATATTATATTAGAACATATATTATTTATATCAATTCTATATTTCTATAATGTTAATCGATAATGAATTTGATGTTAATCGATAAAAATACTGATTGATTTTAATTAATACTTTAATTATTGCACATGTGTCGTAAGGTGCAGTGTCAACTAATGCATAAGCGTTAGTTAAATTAATAGCAAAACTAATATTATATGCAACTGTATGTCAGTCAATTTTATTCTTTGATGTTGCAATTGTTGCATCATTCTGGGACAGTAAATTATCAGGAAACAAATTATAATACATACCTCAACTTTCCATATAATATCTCTCATGTTCTTTTAATTGTTAGCATTAGTAAATTCTTCTAATTTGATAACTCAAGTGCTTTGAAAATTTTGGACGGATTTTAACAATTTTAAATATGACAGCCATATTGTTAGCCATCAGGTACTCCACACAATCTGCACAAAAAATTCATTTAAACTTGATATACATTTACAAGTATTTTGACTAGTTCACACAATTGTTTAGGTATATATAGTAAAGATATTGCACTCATAATTAATACATTAAATTAATTATTTCATTATTGTCTGTTGTATCAAAAATCCCTTAAAGTTTTCTTTGATCATGAAACTAACAATAATTTTATATACATGTCTTAAAGAACTTACGTCTTATATATGGAAACAATTCTGTATGCTTCAAAGAAAATTGTATCACAAAGTTATAAATATTAATTGCATTTAATTATAAATTTAACTCAGCTTAAAAAATAAAACTCAATTCTGTTTCCCGTTTAACAGAATCTGCGTAACCAACCGAACCGAGCCGAACCGAACCGAATTTCTTCCTTGAATGTATTGCCAGATAACGCGTCACAATAATATCGCTCGACTCCTTTCCCTCGACTTCAGGCAGCACTTCGGTCACTGACTCATCGACGTGTTAGCGGCGGTCGCGCATATATGCACAAATAATATACGCTCCGTGATTTTAATGTATAACATTAGATTTTATGATAAATAGATAAAGTGTGTGTTTTTTAAAAAATTTTATAAAATAAGGTACGTAAATAATAACAAATTTTATAAAAAATTATACTGTGATTAAATGAAATATAGTGCTACGCGAAAATGTGTTTTTAATATTGTGACAGGCGTCGGCTAGATGCATATGCTGTGCGGTTTTGCACATAAACAAATGTCAATATCGAAATCAATTAAAAGAAATATTGAGGAATGTTTCTAACTTATTGCAAAAATGTGTTTGACATGTATTTTTAAAAATTACATTTTGCCGGTTGTTCAAAAATAATTTATGTTGTGAAGTGATTTCTTTAAAACTCGTTTTTCTTAATTTTTACCACTTTTGTTCTACTGTTTTATGAAGTTATTTTTAAATTTAGGTTAAAAGTCTGTGATTGTCTAGTATAAAAGTTACTATTCATATTTCTGTAAAAACAATATTTGTTTATTATAAATTAACAACTTGATATACATTTTTAGGGAAAATGTTAAAGTTTATTCGAGGGAAGGGGCAGCAACCTTCTGCCGAGCGGCTTAAACTGCAGAGGGAATTATTTGCTTTCAGAAAGGTACTGTAAAGTTTCAATATTCATAATTACTTACTAATTTGGTTTGGTGGAAGATATGTGTTTAATTTACTTCTACCCTAACACTTAATATAATGTACATTTCAGGTTGTATTAGGCTTATATTAATTATATTTTATTGCTATGAATTATTACAATATCAATCAATCGAGTATACACTCTAAACTCAAAAAACTCAGGAAACATCGGACTGAAAGCTATATAAACACTAAACTGCATTCTATAATATTTATATATTACACATGAAATATAGTTCATTGTACATTATATATTATTATAAGGATTTTGGTTTAGCGGTTTCATAAAGATCTTGCTTATAGATCACCTGTAATTTTGACCGAATACGTTTTATAAAGCTTATGTTATAAGTAGTTATTAATCTAAAACTTTTCTTGGTTTCCTAAAATATTATACCATTGTCAATTATATATGATTGAGCAATAGATAAATGTTTTCATAATTGAGGTGTATACACATTGAGTTGATAAATATTGTTTATATCTTACTATTTTCGTTGATAATGGACTATTTTATCTTATCTTATCAATCATTGAATTATTTATACATTGCTTATAGTTTCTTGAAGTATTGCCATATATATTGATAATGATAATGGTGATAAATATTTGTTGTCGAATATTTTTTTTCAACTGTTTTATTTGAAATGGATAAGTTTTTTTATTCTTTATACATATTCAAAGAGGGGTTTCTCGAAATTGTAAAATCACAAGCAAACAATTAAATATTAGAAAAATATGGAA